GCCAAGAGAAGCAAAACCGACACAAACTGAAGACAAAACTAGTGAGAATCCTAAGTATTAAAATTATTCAACTTAGCTTATGGCTATAATTTTTCTTGGTAATCCTATGCAATATATTATGCCATTTAGGCTTTGTTATGTAGTCAATATCACTTGCTTTATATTTGTGGAAAGACATCTATCTATATAATTATTGTGCATTATGTAGTCATTACGCCTATAGTAGAAAACTTTCCGTTTACAGAAAAACTAGAGCCAATTGACAAATTTCATTGTTATATTTGAACTCAGAATGTGAAATTCATTAAGAAATGGATCCTTTTGTTTCCAAAACTGGCAAAAAATAAAAATTTGTTGAACAGTGTTAGCGATTCAATTACACAGAATCAGCAGCATGCATGTCATGACTGTTGGGTCTGTTGGATTTCTATTACTCTACTACACCTGCTAGTAAATTATTTGCCATGTAGAAATATTTCTACCAAAAAACAGTGATTGATCAGGTTAGTGATGTTTGACTATTATTTTGAACACAACTGTATGTGTAATATATATAATTTGTTTTTGTAGTCTCAGCTGCATATGGGGCTTAGAGAGGTGGGGGTAGAGAAACAGCAGTACATGGATCCTCCTAGTGAATTGCAGTGCAAATCTTTACATGTGTGGACAAGCAGGCTGTACTCTCAGCACCGCCAGAATTCTGACCACACTGGAAAGGAAGCACATGTCTTTATGCCTATCATGGTCAGTTTAAAATAGGAAAGCAGGGGGACTGGCAGCATCACTAGGTATGTCACACAAAGGAAGTAATGCAAAGAGAACAAGATACTTTTTAACAAAAGTACATGGTACAACAGACCCATATCAGGAATATGAATTGTTAGGGTAACATACATTTCAACTCCAAGAAAAGGATTTTACGATTAATACTGAAGTCCTGTTTTTTCACATTAATGTAAAAAAAAGAGGCAGGAGCATGCATTTTGATTAGAGTGGATATATAAAGAAAATCTTTACAAATAATAACAATTATAAATGTCTGTGCATTTTATGTTTCATATGCCATTAGAGATTCTTAATAGTAAATAGCAGGCTAATGAATAGTCATGATTTTTGGTGTAGTATATGTCCATTTAATATAGAACTTCAGATGCAAATATGGCATGTTTAATAGAGGGCCTGCATATTGCGGTAAGTTAACATTCATGTATAACACCATTAAGCAGTATCTAACAAACATTCAAATGAATAATTTGTAACCGTAAAATTTGCCCTTTTTATATGGGAAAGAACCGACTTTTGACATCATGGTGACTGTAATTTACCAGATAATGTGTTATTTATGCAGATTTTCCATAAGGTTAGATTGAATAATGATCATATTCGCCTCAACAAACCTAAAACTTTCTACCAATATTTTGAGAAAAGTCAACAAATAATGTTGGAACCTCAACTTAGGCTGGCCGTACGTTATACAATTTTCTTATACAGTTTTCCCTTATATTTACCAGAAAGCATATAATATGAAGTCAAACCTAAACAACACTTTCAATTGTATCCAGTTAGGCAGGCCATTGCACTAAATAGTTGAAGGTAAATCTAAAGGAAATTGTAAGAAAATTGTATAATGTATGGCCAGCCTTACTTATTTTTATCTCTCATAGTTCTGTACCCACAGCCTGTAATGATGCATGATTTTTTTTTTTTTTTTTTTTTAAACTAGAAAATGCCCTAAAGCACCCTTTTCTCTTAGAAAAATTACTGCTTCCTGGTCTACCACTCTAGTGCTCTATGCTGGTGGAGGTAAGACTAGAAAAATGAAGGTTGCTGGTACAGTGTTAAAATGTCTGCATATCTTTTCTTGTGACTTTAGCTGGGCTTTTAATGACAACTGTACCTTTTGGTACAGTTGTCCTTTAATCCGCTTCCCCCAACACTCGGTCTACCTGGACAAATACTTACCTTCCTCCTGGAACCATTGATCTTTGCTGTGCAGCTCTACCCGGTGCCTCACCACCTTTACTGTTCTTGGTGCATATGTACTGCACAGCCCCATTCATTCATAGATATAGTGTGTACTTGCACTATCAATCAGTCTCGTCTTGCAAAATCCTCAGTTAGTTATAGATGATTAAAAGTCTGCAGGCAACAGCTGTCAAAATCTATGGAGGAGTGTGTACATGAAGAATTTGGATGTCCTTACACTGATTTTTGCTTTTTTTTTTTTTTTTTTTTTTTTCAAATAACCATTTTCCTTTTTAATGTGTTTTAGAAAATTTGAGAACATGTTATAGATAACCATTTTTTGTAACTTCCTAAACTAAGTTTTAGGACATTTAATTCAGTTACTTTTTGTTAATGCCTTCTCTGCGTGAATTTTAGTAACTTATCTCTGTGATGAAGTAGGCAGTTAACTTTCACCTTTCTTGAGGTTAACTTTTTTTTTGTAGCTTGTAATTTTTTTTTACTGCTTTCCTCTTTGAAAACCCCAAATGTTCTTTGAATATTGAAGCCAAAATGTTCTGTGTTGATGATGTACAGGCAGACTGAAACCATGTTTGCTTGTAAATGTTCAAAGGGCAGCTTGGAAAACCCCGTCCACGTTCAAGATCAATCCCTATTTCTCAGCAACAAAATGTTTAATTTCTTAAATCTTTTGCCATATCCTCTAATTAAAAGTGCCATTTCATCAGCTTTCTAAGTGCGGTTGTTTGACTTGCTGTGCTAGTCGAATGCAAAGGGGGAGCTGCAATTGCAGTTACAGCTGCAGTAAAGACTTTTGTCAGTATAAAAGCCACTGTGTAAATGTGCAAACCTTTTTTTTTTTTTTTTTTTTTTTTTTTGTTTTTTTTCTAATAATTTGCTTGGAGCATTCTCACTATTGGGGCACTCCGTCTAGATTTATTTTATGCATGTCAAGGAACATGACGCTTGTGATGGATCTAGGCAGTAAAGCAAGAACTGGTTTCAGTTTGCCCTGGAAGACTGTACAGTCCTTGCACAACAAGATGGGTAAATCTAAATGGTTTTCTTGGTTAACTGTGTTATGTGTGTGTGTGTAATAAGTGTTGGCGTATGACTTTTACATGAAAAACTGTCCCTTTTGAAGTCTCTATAGGGGTCACAGTAAGTATCCATTCTGCGCAGTTTGCCAGAAGGATTTGCAAATTTGGCTTACAAACTCTTTTCATGCTAATAAGAAAAATTAGTGCAATTAGCTAAAGGAAACTACTCACCAATAACCCTTGACGGAGAAAAATATAGATACTGTACAGTACATATGACTTTCTGAATGTATACAGTTTACCAAACTTGGTAAAGCTGAATTCTATGCCGGTATAAAATAAACAAATGAAAAAAAGCTCCTTAATCCATAACACCTAATTAAAGAATTATTGTGATAGCTTGTGATTTACTATTACACTGATTGCTAACTGTACAACCCACTCCTGTACTTTCTCCTCTTGAATGGAGAAAAATATACATTGGGGGGGAGATTTACTAAAACTGGTGCATACAGAATCTGGTGCAGCTGTGCATAGTAATCAGTTCTAACTTCAGCTTGTTCAATTAAAGGATAAGTTCACCTTTTGGAATATGTTACATGCTCCACCAGTTTAGGGTGGAACATAGTTACATAGTCTAGCTGAAAAAAGACAAACATCCATCCAGTTGAACCATAGAAAAAAAAAAAGAAAGAAAAAGTTATAATACTATACCCACAGTTGATCCAGAGGAAGGCAAAAAAACCCCAGCAAAGCATTATTCCATTTGCTCCTGCTGGGAAATAAATTCCTTCCTGATCTCCCGAGAACTGTCCAATAAAATTTACCACCAAATGAAGGCCCAATCCTGAAAACATATAATTCTCCTGGCTACCTTTTTTTTTAAGTTTTTGCAAAGAAATGTACAGTTTTAGTGACACATGCAAAAGATGCAAAACTGGGGTCCAGCATTAATATTTATTTGTAGCATTCTCATTAGGGGTTAGTTTGAGCGTAATTTTACTAAAATTTGACATTTAATAAACAGTTGTGATAATATCATGTGACATAAAATTTTAACTGCCAGCAATTTATTCTACATAGGCTCTTCTTTCAGAAAATTTATAGTGTTTGGGAATTAGAAGTAATCTTTAGTTGTAAAATAGGATTTTTTTTTAAAGTGTCCGCAAAAAAAGGCAGTGAAAGTGTTAAATTTCAGTTGATAAAGTTTGCCGGAAGCTACCCGGCTTACCTCTTGGATGGATGGATTTCCTGTCAGTACAGGTATTACTTTGTGCAGCAGACAATCTACATTTCTCTTTTTTTTTTTTTTTTTCTTTTTTCTTTTTTTTCTGCCCCCTTTTTTATGTTAGCGTTTGTTAGCTGGATTGCCTGTCCCTCAGTTGGAACTAGTTTTGGACATCTTGATGGTCGAAAACTTTGTGTCCCTCAATGGATGAGAAAATAGGATTTTTTATTTTGTTATCCTTTTCACCATAATATCCATTCAGGGACAAAGGTCAAACCCCTTTGTGCTTTATGATCATGTTCTCGGTACTGCTTGCTACAAAACGAAGAAGGCATGCTGGTGGTAGGAGGGGCTTATCCTGGGTTGGTCTATAGGTTTTCATTTGCCAGTATCCAGTCCTCCTGTAGGAAGTAGTATAATCAAAATGTGAAAGACTGTGTCCCTTAGTGGACTCCAAGAAAAGGAATTTACAGTAAATACAAAAATCCTATGTTATCATATCATTCTTAACAGATAACAGTGCTGCATAGATCTTTATTTTCACCTTTTTTGTTTCTTGCCTGCTGGCAGTTTTTTTTAAAATGAAATTCAGTATTCACATTACAATCTGTGCCAATTCACATATTGGATGCGGTTTGAACCAACATGACATGACGTGAAATAACATTGCTTCCTATGGTGCTTGTTCACATATGCAATTTTGCCAATACTATTGAGACACCCCTCCAAATCATTGGATTCAGGTGTGTAAAATCAAGCACTTAGGCATGTAGACTGCTTTTACAAACATTTGTGAAAGAATGGGTCGCTCTCAGGAACTGAATATAAGTGTGGTACTGTGATACCGAAGTCCATCCGTGAAATTTCCTTGCTATTAAATATTCCGCAGTCAACTGTTAGTGGTATTATAACAAAGTGGAAGCAACTGGGAACAGAAACTCCGCCACAAAGTGGTAGGCCAAGTAAAATAACAGAGAGGGGTCAGTGCATGCTGAAGCGCACAGTGCGCAGAAGTTGCAAACTGTCTGTAGTCAATAGCTAAAGACCTCCAAACTTCTGTGACCTTCAGACTAGCACAACAACAGTGCGTAGAGAGCTTCATGGAACTGGTTTCCATGGCTGAGCAGCTTTATCCAATTCTTACATCACCAAGTGTAATGCAAAGCGGCGGATGAAGTTGTGTAAAGCATGTTGACACTGGACTCTCAAGTAGTGGATGCTTCTCTGTCTGCCAATCCAATGGACGTGTCTGGGCTTGGCGGTTGCCAGGAGAACAGAACTTGCCTGACTGCATTGTGCCAAGTGTAAAGTTTGGTGGAGGGGGATTATGGTGTGGAGTTGCTTTTCAGGGGTTAGGCTTGGCCCCTTAGTGCGCCAGCATACCAAGACATTTTGGACAATTTCATGCTCCCAACTTTGTGAGAACAGTTTGGGGTTGGCCCCTTCCTGTTCCAACATGACTGCGCACCAGTGCACAAAGCAAGGTCCATGAAGACATGGATGAGCGAGTTTGGGGTGGAGGAACGTGACTGACCTGCACAGAGTCCTCACCTCAACCCGATAGAATACCTTTGGGATGAATTAGAGCAGAAACTGTGAGCCAGGCCTTCTCATCCGACATCAGTGCCTGACCTCACAAATGTGCTTCTGGAAGAATGGTCAAACATTCCCATAGACACACTCCTAAACCTTGTGGACAGTCTTCCCAGAAGAGTTGAAGCTGTTTTAGATGCAAAGGGTGGGGCCAACTCAATACTGAACCCTACAGACTAAGACTGGGATGTCATTAATTTTGTGTGTGTGTAAAGGCAGGCGTCCCAATATTTTTGGCAATATAGTGTATGTCCGGTGCACTGGCAGTGCTGATTTAGTGCAAATTGCAAGAGAATCATGTCTGATTTCTGAGCAGTGCAGTCTGGTTCAGGTGCAGATTACAGGCTGTTGACCTCTATGGAAACCGTTCCTAAACCTCACATGTCATCAGTTGTGAACCGGATCTAAACCTGTCCTGAACCTGAAGTAAACCTGACCTGAACCACTGAACAACTACTGTATCAATTAGCTCTGAAACCAGAGCTTCATTATGCACTGCACATGTGTGAATCAGAATCAAGTTTATTATTCTTGAACTACAGCTGACATTTTTTAAGGGCTTGTTTGCACTGCAGTCTCCACATTCAGGGCTTATTCACACTAGAATGCTGTGTGGGGAAACCTGTGTTCCGTGCTGGTTTCCCACACCACATTCAAATCACATTGCCCTTATGATCTGTAGCGAGTTTCAGTGCAAAGTTAACTATACCCAAAACACAGGTTGCAAACACAGTAAGAGCCATTACTGCAGTGATTTTTGCTAGCTTCCAGGTCCAGTGCCCAGCGGCTGTCCTGCTTAGTGGACACAAACAGTTGCCATTCCGCAAGGGTGCCATTCAGTCCAGTATTCTGTAAGGGGCATCACCACCCACCTCTCCACCTTGTCCAGTGAGCATTTGGTTAGATAATTTAAAGTATTCTCTGAATGGCACCTATACCAAGCGAGTGAATCTCTGTGTTCACTAAGTAGCAGGGCAGCAGCTTGGCACAGGACCTGCAAGCCAGTGACAATCACTGTAGTGGTGTCTACTGCAGTGATTTCCAGATTCCATGAGGATTGACCAGGTTTGGCAGATGTATACATCCAAGTTGGACCAATGTTACTATACAACAACTTCACCTTTATGTACTTAAGGTTAGAGAATGTGAAAAAGTCTCTTTAAAAAATGTGTTTCAGAAGATGGGTTTTGTGTATAAAATTTGCATACTTTTTGCCATCTTTTGTGCTGAAAGCTGTTTTTGTATTGTGCCTATATGTGTCCACTGAAATTCTGCGGTTTTGTTCTTACCTGAAACAAATTTCTAACATCTGTAACCACAAAGTTTAACCTGAGCAGCGATTGATGATGTGGTTTATGAATTCTTGTCTAGTCAAAAGAGACTTGAGAAACGGTTATATATTTTTTTTTTTTTCATGGAATTATACGTTGCTACCTTTTCTGTTTTGCAGTAAGTCTAGGAAACAAAACCTTGACCTTATTTACAGTGGATGAGAAACAAATAAGCAGAAACTGCTGTAAGATTGATAAGATACTTTGTAATGACAAAGTTGTTTCATTAAATGCTTAATCATTATCTTTTCTATTTTACACAGTTTTTAGTAAAATGGTTTCCAGGCATATGTTTTTAATAGCATTTAACCTGGTGCTCAGCTTGTTAAAAGAAAAAAAAAATAATAAACACAGTTCTAGCTGCCATTTGGAGGTGTTCCCCCGCAGTACAAACTGTTCTGGGTCTTGCAGTATGTGCAGTACCCCAGTAGACTGAGAACAGTACTGTGAATTCAGGGCATCGTGGAAGTAACCACAGAACCCTTCATTCACAGTGTGTTAATACAGAGAGCAGCTCTGGCCTCATCACATAAGTAATGCTCTCTTTATTATGGAGGACCACAAACCAGTGGGCAGCGTGTCACTTGACCAGCTTGATATAATTACTGAAAAAAAGGTGATTGGTTGTACTAAAGAAGAATGTAGACTGCAAAACCTTCAGTAAATCTGTAAAGTTGGGGTGTTGGGGCAAGGTGGCGTGAGCAAAGAGTAGAGTTTAAAGCTGTTTTCTATGACTACAGTTCTTTGCATTTTTTTTTTACTCACTTGGATAGCCAACACTCTGCCCTGAATATCTTCACGTGTATTTCTGGATCTACAGTGTTTCTGATGATTTCTGGGAGCCTTCAACCAGAAAAGAAGTGAAGGGGAGCTGCTAAGTAGGACCAGATGTACGACGTGGAGAAATCATGTGGGAGCATGAATAAGGTAAGTATTCCTCTACTATACAAGTTCCCTAAAAAAGCTGTTAAACCCTTGCTATACTGGGTAGTGGAGGCACATAATATCTTACTGCTGACTGGAGTTCAGCTTTAAAGGGCCACGTGCAATTGTTTCTTAAGGTTCTTCTTACCCCCCTAACCCTGAAGTCAATACAGTATTTGGATGCAACTACAGATCGTAAAAGGCAGTGTGTTTTAGACGTGGTGCTGGAAACGTGCACAGAACTGGCTTTTCCTGCACTGCATTTTGGTGGGAACTGGCTTTCAATGTTTCAAAAAAAACCCCAAAAAACTTATGAGAGAGAACTGTATTTCTACTGGTGATGGTAAGAGTAGATTTTTGGATGCTAACTATATAGAGAAAAGAATATTCATATTTATCTGATTTATCTGATTTATCTGTAATAGTCCTAAACATAAACCCAAATATAATATATAATGGCTTTAAAGGAATGTAGTCTAGGCCTCTGTCTCATTTTGCTCAGCAGTTTTGTATCCCCAGAAAAATAATTCCTTACACACTTTTATATAAGTACATGTAGTCTACTCAGAGGAGCAGAGTACCTGTATGCACTTTTATTTTACATGCTCGTATGCTGGAAAACGTCTGAAACTGTGGCCAGACAGATAAAAAAAAAGGTAAAGGATGTGTGGCAAGAGCCCAGCCCTGCTTGTGGTTCAGTAGAAATTATTAACTAGGCAGCCTCTAACCTAAAAAACCAGCTGTGGTTAAAATCTCAACTAGCATATACAATTGAAAAGTTATCAGCAATCAAGGGTCTGCCCGTACAGTACACGGGTTCTTTTCTTGAATAAAATCTTAGAGTTTATTTAGTTTCAATACATTTTTCTTGAAGGTTTTGAACATACATAGGGGTAGAGCAGTACAAAACAATAATGCAAAGTTCAATACTACCTATTGAGAATTGTTACAAACTCGCCCTTCTCACAAAGTAAAACTTTCATAGAGCAAAGATGGTACATGTAAATGTCCCCTGGGTCTCAATTATCAGTGAGACCCCATTCACAGTTAAGCGACTTGTCACGCGACTTTAAACATTAGAGTTGCATGACAAGTTATATCCCATTTTTTCCAATGATAACCATTCATGTATGCACGACTTAAAGTTGCAGCGACTTCAAAGTAGTTCATGCATTACTTTGGTGTTACTGTCGTGCAACTTCAGGGCCATGGACTTCACATTTAATCCTCGAAAGTTACATGAAAGTCGTACCTAATTTTTTTTTTTTACATGCAACAGTGGGTCCAACATTGCAGAGGGACAAGTCGCATACAAGTTGCACTCCAAAGTCTCGCAACTTTGGAGTCGTACAAGTGTGAATGGTGCCTAATCTAACTGTATTCCCTAAGGTGGACAAAAAAAAAAAGGGAGCGGACTTGATGACCACTCTGTCTTTTTCTGCTGTCACTTTTTTGTGTTTCTATATAGGTAGGAAAAGTATACCTTAACCTCCCTGTGCAAGCTAGTCAGAACATGAAAGTGAGGAGCTAAAGTAGAAGAGTACGAAATGTTAGGGAGTAAGACGGTTCTAAAAAAAAAAAAGAGTAATGGTGGGAGGGTTCCCTGCTACCATATCATTTAGGTTAGTGACTAATTCATCAAAGGTCCAATAAGTTATGATAATAGTCAGATGGGAGGCAATGATTGATCCAGAATGTCCAGATCCATTTGAACTCAGATGCTGTGTGTTTGAAAAACAGCTGCCATTTTCTCATTGAGGAATTTATTTTCTGTTTCATTTGGCCACCTGAGTCTTAATTCAAATGGCTGAGTTTGACTGTTGACTTAGCAAATATCTTGAAATATCTGTGTAGCAACCATCCACACAGACATGAACGCGATCATCCATTTTGCTCCAAACCCCTCCATATTGTATATCTCACTCCCAAATCAGTTTTCCTCATCCCCCCTTCCTCTCTGTTGAGTGACATGTGGTCTGTTTGATGACAGAGATCACAGGCAGCAAACTCATTGGGAGGGTATCATGGCTATAAACCTCACTAGCTGGTGCCCCTCTGTCTATGAAACTCTTGCTAGCGAAGGGCTTGGAAAGCCATAAACCGAACCCTCACCGAGCTTCAAAAGACATTTCAGGGGGTCGTAAAAACAGACTTGCATTTAAAAATTCACTTTTCCATATAATTTTATTTCTTCAAAGAGGACATAATTACATATACATGAAGCCCATATTCGGACGGCTCACATTAAGACCAGTCTCTTGGTATATTACACCCCCTATCTGACATATACAGGAGAGTAGAAAATTATATCTCCTGAACCATTCAAGCAGATGTCATATTTCATATCTAACCATTCAGCAGATGTGTCTGCATGTTAATCTACTAGTGGCAAGGCTGCTAAAACTCTCCTAGCTTATATTATGGTTCATAAGTTATGAACCATAATATAAGCTAGGAGAATTTTTGGTCATAGCTTGGGTCTTCACCTACAACTCCCTCCCCAAATGAGGCGATTGGTTTACTGCTCCAGGGAGACACCCTGTGGAGTTGCTAGAAAAAGCTAAGCTGAGTTGTAGGAAGTTGAAGAATCTCCTTTTTAACATCGGAACTAACAGTGGGAGATAAAAGCATCCTTTTGGCTCTGAAACTTGGAAGCTGCTTAAACCAAGACTGACTGGCAAGTACTTTATCTAAATTAATTTCTGTTATCTCTTTGCTGTGCTATTGATTTCTGTGTGTGTGTATATATATATATATATATATATATATATATATATATATATATATATATATATATATATAGGCTACATCTTTTTCTGTAAATATTTTTACTGCACCCTTTTGACCTTTTTAGTAATAAATGTTACTTTCTGAAAGTGTTGAACTGTTTCTAAAGCTCTTTAATGCAAACTAAAGCAACCCTTCCTCTGAAGAGCGCTACTGTGTGTGTTTAAACCTCTGTATAACCTGCCTGCGGTAACAGTGGTATACAGACGATTATTCAAACATCATAGTGTTCTTGCTGATATTGCCGAGTTTCCTCTTTCTCTGTACAAAAAGGAGGTGGTGGCAGTGTGAAGGGTTAATTGCGTAATTAACCTGACCCAGTAACAATCGCACTCAGGCTGCAGGTACATCGATTGTGGTCCATTAGCTGGAAAATCTTTGTGCGGAGTGCAGCTGGCTGTGGCATTGTTACGCACGTGGCAGTGCGGTTTTAGATCGGCTAGTCCTTCGGTCACGAGTTTGGTGAGAAGGGCTGGGGTCTGACGCCACGATCGTCAGTCTGTTTTTTTTTTTTTTTTTTTTTTTTTGTAAAGTGATCATCAATTAACAAATAACAGTTTGTGTGTAAAACTAGCATAGAAGGAAATTATTTTTTTTAGTTATTTGCTTTATTGTTTTCATTTTTTTTTTTCCCCCCTTCTAAAGATTTTTCTATTTTTTTTATTTTTTTTTAGGCAGATCAAGAGACTTGACCTCTATGGAGACACAGAATGAAATTGTTCCTAAAATTGCCAAGATGACTGTCTCTGGAAAGAAACAAACCATGGGATTCGATATTCCAAGGTATGTTGTTGCTCTGTACTTATGATTTACAAATTACAGTATCATAAATAGTATTGATACAACATAAGTGCTACTAAATGCAAAAAGAACATGAAGTATATGTTTTTGTTAAAAGTGCTGACCATGAAAGATAGTATAATGAGCAGATCACTAAGAGTGATGGGTGGTAAAAGGTGCAGTCCTCGAATCTGAGAGGACCTCCCGCTATTTTCAAATAATTTGTAGATGCTTGTTAGGAGGGCACATGTGGTTTAAAAGGTTTTTTTTTTTTTTCCCTTTTTTGCAAACCTTTTTGACCTTGTTTGGTGTTTACAAGCTTTTCTAGTATTTGGAGTTGAATTTTTATCTAGGGAAGCATTCTATGGCCAGACCCTCTACCAATAATTGGAAGTAACCTATTGCATTGTGTCACACTTCGGAATCTTCCAAACACTATTTTTATGTATGTGTATGATGAAGGGCATCTTCAGGGCAGTTGAAACGAGTGTAAATGAGAGCAATAACTTCATTCTCTGGTGTGTCCGCCAGGGCTGAAGTAATTGTGGCAGTGCTGCTGCCATAACTATTAAGTGGAGGGGATTGGCGTAGTGGTTATTCTTGATAAATATTATACAGGATATACAAAATAAAGAGATAGTACAGTTACAATTCAATATGGGAATGTTAGAAAAGCTCTGCTTGTGACCGCTTACAATCTAAATTGTGAGGCAACTGATACAAAAAGCAGTAACTGTGGGAGTGAATTGATGGAAAATGTTAAATTTTAGTTGTTAGGTAGAGGTATGATAGTCTTCCCTAAACAGATTTCAAGGATCACCTAAAGGCAGATAGAGTAGGAGATGGCCACAAAGATTGTGGTAGGGTGTTCCAACAGAAAAAAGAGAGTGGGGAAGACGTGGAGATGAGCAAGGAGGGAGGTATCAGAGAAGGGGGGGAGGTATCAAGGGAGAGAAGGAAGTCTATGGAGTTGCAAGGAGGATAATTTGGGTGATATTTAGGGATGAGGCTGGTGATGTAACTTGGGGCAGAGTTGTGAATGGCTTTGTGGTAGATTTGTATGTTGTAATTATTAGTATTTTAAATTTAATGTGTTGTGTTGTATGAGCAAGAGCCAATGGAGAAATTGGCAAAGGGTTGGTTGAAAGGTGAATAAGTCTGGAAGCAGTATGCATGAGAGACTGAAGGTAGGTCAACAAGCAGGGAGTTGCAATAGTTGCCGTGAGAGAGAACAAGAAATTAATTAGAAGCTTTGTGGTGACAGCTGTTAAAAAGGGCTAATTTTGGAATTATTGTGGAGATAAAGGCAGCAAGATTTGGGCATTGATTGGATGTGAGACTTAAACGAGAGGACAAAGTCTAGTATTACACTTAACACCATGGCTTTAGGAGAGTGGTTGACTGCAGGAGGGGAAGAAACATTTTGTGCTTGGTTTGGGAAAGATTGAATTTAAGGAAGGGGTGTGACATCCATGAAGTTACGTCAAATGGTAAGTTAGCGATGAGTGAGGAAACAGAAGGGGTGGGCAGAGGAATGGAGATAGATTTGGCTGTCAGCAGCACAGAAGTGGTTTTGGACTCCATGAGAGGTTATCAGCTGGCGCAGAGAGAAGATGTACGGTAGATAGAGGCGGCCCAAGGACAGCCTTGGGGAACCCTACTCAAAGCATAAGAGGAGAAAAGCAGAAAATACTGATTTGAAACTGAAAATGTTTGCCCCAAAAATGTATTTATAAAAACTTTTATTCCATATGAAATGTTATATAGAGGTTTTGTTGCAATCCATTTTATAGCTTTGAACAATGTAGGAGTAAATGATTCACATAGGGGTTGATTTACTAAAACCGGAGAGTGCAAAATCTGGTGCAGCTGTGCATGGTAGCCAATCGGCTTCTAATTTTAGCTTGCTCAATTAAGCTTTGACAAACTAGAAGCTGATTGTTTTCTATGCAGAGTTGCACCAGATTTTGCACTCTCCAGTTTAAGTAAATCAACCCCACAGCATATTATCTACAATGTTTCCTAATAATTGGGCTGATTTACTAAAGGAGTTGAGAAACTTTATTGACAAAATTGTGATTATTTTCACTACAATTATGCAGTCATGTGAAAAGCAAATTTGAATACCCAGTCATGTGAAGATGCTTGACATTAATAGATAATAAACACAATTATTTTGAGCGAAGATTCTCAACTCCCTTGGTAAAGCAGCCTCAATGTCTGTTAGAGTGCCTAATCATGGTTCTAAAGCTTGCCATGTACCACATTATGCTTTATGTAGCAAAAATACCCAAAAATGTTGAATTTGTATTGCACAACACCCAGGACATGTAGTTTCGGGCATTGGGCAGGTAGCTTTTTTTTCAACATTTAGCCCTGGTTCGGGCAAGCAGCGGGCTCACCTGTAAGGTGAAAGCATTCTGATGGCAGGACTGCCGCCCGATTGCTTTCACATAGTCCACCATGGTGCCAGTCTCTGCCCGTGTGTGAACCTCCCCCCTGCTTGCCAAGTCTCCCGGGCTCCGCTTGCCCATCTGCAGGCCCGGGACTGGCTCAGTGTGCCCCAGCGGCTAGAGAGAAGAGCGAACACATCCACTCCCCTCCCCTTCTTGTCCTGCCCCGGAAGTGACGTTTGACGTCACTTCCTTGTCCCCATTCACACAATGAATGTAATGCAGTGTGATGTAGACTGTACACAGTCTGATGTACACTGCATTACATTCAGGGGAGCACAGGGAAGACATGCAGGGTCTTTTAGACCCTGCATGTCTCATTAAAGAGAACCTTTCACCAAAAAATCTTCACATAGGGGACTTTGTTGCCTATGTGATGAACATAAAAAGTTAAGTAAAAATTTTTTTTATAATCGTGAAAAAAAAATCAAAGTTGCACAAAAGCATATAACATCCCCTCAGAAAATTTGAGCCCTCCCCCCACCTCCACATATACGCTCGTTTGAAGAGTAAAGGGGGTTGCCCACGCATGAAAATGTTAATTGCTATACATATGTTACATATTGCCGTGCATGCCAGAATGAGAGCAATAATTCTAGCAAGAGACATAGTTTGTAACGCTATACTGATGTCCTATAAGGGTTTAAAAGGGTTGTCTATAGAAAATATAGGGTACTGAAGTTTGTTGCCATTTCACGAGCGCACGCAAATTTTAAGGTTTTGACATGTTGGATATCTATTTACTCGCTGCAACCTCATCTTTTATATTTTACAAAAAAATTTGTGATTTATTGCTTTTTTTTGTGCCCTAAAATTAATTTAATTGTATTTTTTACTAAACTAGACCTTTTTTTTTTTACTAAAGGTCTAGGTTTCCTAGACCTTTGCAATAATATCGTGCAACATAAATAATTGAAACTACCACTATTTTATTCTCTAGGGTCTTTGCCTTTAGAAAATATGTAATGTTTGGGGGGTTTTGTGTAATCGAAAAGCCTAAAATTATTTTTTAAACGCGTGCAAAAATGGCTCTGACATCAAAAAGGATAAGCCCAACACTCCCCTTCCCTGACGAGCACCCAATCAGTGCTCATTACACTGCACGGTCTCTCCCCTCCCTGCTAAGCCCTGGGTGTGGCGCTGGAGACAGGCAGGGAGGGGAGGAGGAGACATACAGTGCAATGTTAAAAAAATGAAACGTTTAAGTCACCATAAAACCCATTTTGATTTTAAAAAGTCCCATACATTCCTAACAGCAACTCAGAATTAAATACGGTTTTGGTTCAAATAGATTTTTTTTTTTTTTTTTTTTTTTTTATCTAGACAAGTAGATTGGGGCCCCCGATATAGTCCCTTGACAAGCAATTTTTTCAAAAATTTCTACACCCCTGAAAACCTGACTCCTTAATTTTAAGAAAATTGTCAATACAAGCACAATTCGTGGTGAACTAATGACATTGAAGTAGTTGACTATATGGTATTGATTAGTCATTTGTCAAAGATTTCTCCCCCCCCCCCCCCCCCCCCCCCCACACACACTTATTTGTAAACTGTATCATGTTTTAGTTATCATCTGTAACAGGATACAAGAATAACTGCTGATAAATGATGGACCTATGTACCATATTTGAACAGGTGGAGAGAATTGAGTCAAACTTGTTTTATATTCAGCTTTTGAGAGTGAGCCTTCAGATAGGCATTGTAGGTAGCAAGTGCAAAGATGACTAATATCTGTGTCAGTTTCTTTTTAACATTTGGGGTTTTGCATTTTTATGTAGGGTTGAGTGGTCGTTAAAGCCTCAGCAAATTCTCAGAGCAGTTTGCAGACTCTTCATCTCTTTTACCCTCCCTTGTCTGTTACTTTGTTAAAGCCCAGTTTATAGAGACACGTGAAACTTTTGGTTGAATTCTGTAGAATTCTATTTCCCAGATCTGTTATTTTTATAGAAGGACATGTCTTTTTTTTTTTTTTTTTTTTTTTCATTTTCTAAAATTTTCCCATAATCACAACTTTATATATTGCATCTTTAGTTTTGACAAGTGAAACCTTTTCATATATTTCTGTACATTTTATTCACAGCTCTATGTACCAGTCTTCAGCATATAGTATTTAGCCTGATTCATTGGAGCTGCTTTGCTAAAGGCAAGTAGGCTATTCATTTTGCAAGGCATTTTCCTTTAGCTTCGTGAAAGAGGCGAAGTTCTGCTGACTTTCATCATCTAACCATTTGCAAGCAAAAATACTTTTTTTTTGTCTTTTCTCGCATGTGATTGGGTATTATTTGCAATGTGAATTTTCACCAACTTTACTGAGCTAAGGGAAAATTCCCTTACAAGGTAAACCTTTAGTAAATTCCCATAGCTGTAGGGATTTAGTAGATCCCCATAGATGTAACCGCACGTTACACAGAACTGTTTTTATAACGTATCTATTGCTGAGTGCTCCAGAAGTCCTCTGGGGGTGTTCTATCTATAGTCAAAGGCTACCTCATTCTTTGAAATCTTAACTCTAAGGCCAAATATACACATCTACACATGTTGTAGTTAGGTAAAGCACTGTTCAGCAATGCCTGATATAGGAGCTATGTGGTTGTTTTCAGTGGCAGCCCACAAGCGTTCGCAAACAAACCAGACACACCTGACCCTCATTATAACACATATGTTGCATTGTGGTGCACAGGGAAAAATAAGGCAGGTGTGTTTTGTTCATGGAAGCATGTTAAGGGCCCGTTGAAAATGAATGTGCATACAGATTTGCTGCATTGGGTATGCCCAAGTTTGAAAAGATACTAAAAGCACTGCATCCAAGTAGAGGCTGGCATTGCAGAAAGATGGCCTGTGCTAGATCTTTACACTTAAACTTAGTGTTACTAAACCCACAACAGTAAAATCAGTGTGTATATGCAGTAAAGCATGCTGGTTATACTCACTGTGGAACCGAAGGGGTTAATCCTTTGTATTGTGTAAATAGGCTGTTTGACCCTGACTTCTCTGATCCTTGTCTTCTTCCAGCCCCCCCCCCCCCCTCCTTTATCACCTGATAAGGCATATGGTGTGGAGTCGCTCTGCACATGCTCAGTTTGGTGTGTATTGCACTTATACCCCATTCGTGCCCAGGCCAATTTTCACCTTTCAGTGCTGTCGCACTTTGAATGATTGTGCAGTCATGCAACATTGCACCCATATGAAATTTTTAGAATTTTTTTCACACAACATAGAGCTTTCTTTTGGTGGTATTCAATTGCCACTGGGTTTTCTTTTTTGCACTATAAACAAAAAAGAGGAAAAAATGTTGAAAAAAAAAAAAGTTGAAAAAAAAAAGTAATTAATTTTTCTCCTTCACTGATGTGCGTTGATCAGGCAGCACTGATGAGGTGGCATTGATGAGGAGGCACTGATAGGTGGCATTGATGGGCGCAACTGCAGGGTGGCAGTGCTGGGCAGTACTGATCATCAGGGCACTGATCATCATCAGCTTATCGGTAGATAACCATATCCAGCAGTGCCGCCGCCGCATCACTGCAGCTTATCAGCGGGTCCTCATCAGCACCCGTCAGTGCCACCTTATCAGTGAAGTGCATTAGTGCATATCAGTGCCCATTAGTACAGCTTCATCAGTGCACAACAGAGCAGCCTCGTCAGCATCCACCAGTGCGCCCTCCCCAGCCCGCCTCAGCCCCAGCCCGCATCAGTGCGCCCTCCCGCATCAGCACACACACTGGTTCTACTTTGATGTTGGGCCTCTGTGGCCAGGCTGTGAAAAAGTCTCACACATGTGGTATCACCCATACTCAGGAGGAGTATCAGAATGTATTTTGGGGTGTATTTTTTGGTATTTACATCCTGTAGATGGACAACTTGTGTAAAATACGTTTTCATTTTCCCTCTACATTTTCCGAAAACTTGTGGAAAAAAATGACATATTCAGAAGACTCATTATGCTTCATAGAATATATGTTGAGGTGTTTGCTTCTAAAAATGGGGTCATTTTGTGGGTAATTCCTGATGGTGCTCCTTGCATGTTGGGCCTCTCTATGTGGCAAGGCTGCGGAAATCTCACATGTGTGGTATCCCCATACTCAGGATTAGCAGAATGTGTTTTCGGGTGTAGTTGCAAGTATGCCTATGCCGTGTGACAGTTTTGTGAAGAAAAAAAAAAAAAAAATCTTCATTTTCCAACAAATTGTGGGACAAAATTACAGCTTCAGAAAACTCACCATGCCTCTTACTAAATACTTTGGAATGTTTGCTTTCCAAAAAGGGGTCATGTGGGGGATATTCATACTGTCCTGGCATGTTGGGGCCTCAAGAAATGATAGGCCGTCAGTAGATCAGGTGTGATCAATTTTCAGTGATTGGTACCATAGCTTGTAGACTGTATAGCTTTCACACGGACCAAATATTATACACTGATTTGGGTTTTTTTTTTTTTTTACCAAAAATAAATTAGCAGTATAAATTTTGGCCAACATTTATGTAGAAAAATTACTTATTTGCAAAATGTTATAACAGAAACTAACACGCATTTTTTATTTCTTTTCAAAATGTTTGGTCTTTTTTCGTTTATAGTGCAAAAAAAAAACCCCAGTGGTGATTAAATACCACTAAAAGAAAGCTCTATTTGTGTGAAAAAAAGACGTAAATTTCATATGGGTACAGTGTTACATGAGTGAGCATTGTCATTCAAAGAGTGAGAGTGCTGAAAGCTGAAAATTGATCTGGGCAGGAAGGGGGTATAACTGCCCAGTAGGTAAGTGATTAACCCCAAAACCTTTGCCTCTAACTGAACCTACTTCTTTTTCCCTGACCCCTGAACCAATTTTCACTTCAAATTGTTTGTTCTAAAATAAACATACCAAAAATCCAGCAGATTCATGTAAGGGACTGTACTATGTTATATTGCAGCACATTATCTGGAAGACAGCAATTTTTGCAGATTCTGTTGCCAGTAAAAGCAATACGAAATTGTTTCCTGTATACACTGGTATTTTAGTTCATGGTGCACGGATTATAAAATGTGTGAACGGGTTATGACATTTTTCATATAGTAGAATTAATAAAACCTATCTCTTCAGGGAAGCCTATCCCACCCTCTGCTAATACTGGAATTTTCTACTCTTCCAACCACTCCATCCCCCACAGTTATTACCTATTGTACCATTAACCCCTCCCTCCTAGATTGTAAGCTCCAAGGAGCAGGGCCCTCCTAACCCTCTTGTATTGAACTGTATTGTTACTGTATTGTCTCCCACTATAATGTACAGCGCTGAGCAAACTATTGACGCTATATAAATCCTGTATAATAATAATAACGGTGTCTTACTGCATCCTTTCAAAGGTGATTTATGCTGGGTGTCTGGTATTTTCCCTCCCCCTCGCAGCTTGGGGGGATCAAACAAAGATGATGTGCAGGTGTCCGATGTCCTTCTTATCAACCAATGATGTCAGCAGTTGTTAGGATGCTGGCAGCTGGCCTGTGCAATGCCCAATGCTGCGGAATGAAAATTGTGGGTTTGTGTAACCAAAAGGCTTGATCCACCTGCTGGCTTGTACACAATTTTTGGGCAATTTTTTGCCAAGGCGATTCTGAAGAATCCAGAAAGTCCCCAGGGTGCCTAGGCTGAAAAGGCTGGTTTAAAGGACATGGGAACATGACTACACAGGTCTTTCTGTCAAAAGCCACAAAAGAAGTCCTTAAAAGTCCCACTTTTGACTCTTTTCGATGAACTGATCCTTTGTGAGAATGTCCAACTAAAACCAATATCTTGATCTAGGATGTTGACAACTCCTCTGTTGTTCCTGACCTGTTGTCAGTTTCCACTGATTAGTTACTTAACACTTCACCTAAAAATCTGCCTACAGTTTTAATAAAACAAAGCAAATGTGTTATTACCTGCCCCTGATTTCATCATTAGGATGACCTGAGTTATTGGGGTAAGCAAGTGACTTGCAAGTGCTGCTTTAGTGTTAGAATGGCAGCTAAGGAACAAACTTTATAGACAGCCGGCAGCAGGCTGGTGCACCTATACCTTCCACCGTCACCTTAATGTCGGATTCTCATGCATGGGGACTTAATGCCTAGTGTGCATGGGGTCTTACTCCGCATACTTTAACTAGCATGAGTTTTAATCAGCAGACCTTTCTTTGCAATAAGCCTTGATATACTTAAAGGCCTCATTCACACTGACTCTGCGTTTTATTTTTTCTAACTGCAGGGGAAACTATCTGAGAAGTATAAACTGTTTTTATGCCTCTCTGGTCAGTTTTTTCTTCTTTTAGATGTTTCTGCTTTAAAGCAAGTTTAGCTGTGTTTATAATGTCCAGTCTCATCCAAGACATTGCTAAACCGATCATACAGTTTAGCACCATTGAAAATCATTACATACCTTATGTGCATTTAGAAATGTCCTCTAAATGCATATAAACCCAGGTTTGAATGTGCCAGTATGAATGAGGCCTAAAAGCTACAAGGTTTTTATGATCAATTGTGTTCTTTCTGTATGTTACAGTGCAGCATCTGAGGTGAATGGGCAGGGTGTTCCTTTGCCTACAAAAGGCCAGCCTGTGGAAGACATTGTGGAAGAACCTGAAAGCACCGTTCCATTACCCATACAAACAAACGCTTCACAAGCCTCTGATGAACTTAATGCCGCATCCCAAGTAAAAAGTTCTGGAAAATCCAAACACAAAATTAATGTTAAGGAAGAGCTAGAGAAGAGACAAGGAGGAAAACAGCTGCTAAACCTTGTTGTAATAGGTAATGCATTTTTCCTTCTTCTACACCTTGCTGTTTCTGGCTTAGTGCCAAACATCGTTTTGGCCCATATTTATTCGTGCAATGTTAAAGCATTTGTTTAACCACTTGCCTTCCTGAGGATTTATCCCCCTTCCTGACCAGGCCTTTTTTTTGCGTTACGGCGCTGCATTACTTTAACTGACAATTGCGCGGTTATGCACCGCTGCACCCAAATTAAATTTTTGTTCTTTTTTGTTCCCATGAATTGAGCTTTCATTAGGTGGTATCTGATCGCCTGTGCATTTTTTTTTATTTTTTGCGCTATAAAAAAAAAAGACTGACAATTTTGAGCAAAAAAAACTATATTTTTTGACTTTTTGCTATTAAACATGTCAAGTAAAAAAAATTTTAAAAATCTAATTTTTACTAGTAATGGTGGCGATCAGCAACTTATTGCAAGACTGCGGCAGGCTTACTGACACTGGGGAGAACTGACTTGGTGTCACTGACATCCCCAGTGACACCAAGACAGTGATCAGTGCTAAAAACAAAAAAGCAATGACACTGTACTAATGGCACTGGGCAGGAAGGCGTTAACATGTTGGGTGATCAGAGGGTTAACTCTGTGGTGTGCTGTTTCACAGTAAGCTGTGTGTGTGTTTCACTGTAATCTCACTGCTTTGCAGAAGCTGACAGGGAGGAGAACTGTATTGTTAATATACATACAGTTCTCCTCCCCGTTTTGGAGATGCTCCGCAATCCCTGGGTGCCGATGAGTAATCACGAGTCAGGACCTGGTGATTGACAGCTGCGGCCCGCGTATGGTGGTGCAGGTAGTACGCGCTCGCATGCGCCCCCTATCCGGAAATGCAAAATCATCTCTCTCTCTCTCTCTCTCTCTCTCTCTCTGTGTGTGTGTGTGTGTGTGTGTGTGTGTGTGTGTGTGTGTGTGTGTGTGTGTGTGTGTGTGTATATATATATATATATATATATATATATATATATATATATATATATTGTATGTGATTTTGCGCATAATCGTCGCCCTGTAGCAGTAGGGCGGTTGGGAAGCGCTTAAACATTTCCTTTTAATTTGAACCTGTCATAAAACTAGGCAAAGGGTGAAAACATGCATAAGCAGAGGTTACTGTCACTGATACCTTCAGTGTCAGGATGAGCAAAGATATTAGCAATTGAAATGACAGTATATGCAGTTTAAAAATATCTAAATTTTTCATGTGTTTGTTGGGTTATCCTGCCCCTTTTGGCTCCCAAGCTTCCACAACAGTAACTGTAGATCTGTAGCTGCTGATGGTTCTGAATGCTGTTTTCACTGAAGACAATTTCCAAGTAGACGGTCTTAGGCCCCATTATGATGGTCGTGATTCAGCCACATGACAAAACGTGCGTGTGAAAAATGCACCTTGTTTAGGGCCAAAATTTGGTTCTTGAGCTTCTTTGCTGTGGCAATTGTGCATTTGAATGGGCTGCCCTATGCACGACATGCAGAGTCACATGAAAATCACCCACATAAAATTCCCGCTATGTGAAGTGTGAACTGGATCTTAAAGCCAAAGTTTATGTAAAAAAAATAAGCACAAGGGACATTACTTTCCTTCAGTGAGATGTGTCCCTTGTGCTGTTGGGTCCTCCTTTAGTAGAAATCCTCCTGGCGATGCCCATCCCACACTCCCGCAGCTGTAATCTTTTTGGGGTGGTGAGATCTTGTAGAACTAAGGGTGCTATCACAGGTTCTCACCAAGAGTGCCTGACACTGCCTGCCTTTTCTGTCCAGTTCCTCCATTCGTAGAAGCCTTCGTACCCTTTCCGCCCAGCTCCTCTATTCATAAAAGCTAGTTTTACAGCTTCTGTGAATGAACTCTGAACTATAATTGGAGGGGTGGAACTTTTATTTGCTCATCCTCCATTCATAGATCCTATTTCATTCTTAAAAGCTGTAAAACTAGCTTTTATGAATAGAGGAGCTGGGTGGAAAGGGTGGGCATAGTCAGGCACTCATAATAGATCCTGTGAAGACTCCCTTAGTTCTGTTAATCCCCGCTGTACTGAAAGATTGCAGTGGAGGGAGGGGGTGATGGACATCAGAGGGAGGAAGATTTCTACTAAAGGAGGACACAGTAGTACAAGAGGCAGATCACACTGAAGGTAAATAATGTAAATAATGTCCCTTGTGCTTATTCATTTCATTTATTTATAAAAACTTGGGCTTTAACCATGTTTTACATACAATACAAGTATGCAGACAAGGAATGCCAGAGATAAGTCAGAACTCTATAATTGCTTTCTTGGTTTTAGATCCATAAATATACTGGACGCAAGCAGCTCAACATGAAATGACAACTAGCACTTTACAGAGAAGAGGTTAGCATTGGTGGCTTTGATGTTCTAGTTATAACTGGCTTCCTTTAACCATTGCAGACATTAGACATACTACATATGCCTTTTTTGGAAAATGTCCATCTAAAAGCAAACCAAAAAAAAAATATATATATATTTTTTAATGAGTACATTAACAGAATTAAGAGTGAATATTCATTGGTGTGTGAATTTGCACAAGAAAAAATAATATTTTTGAATCTTTTTGCTTTTTGTAATCAGGTCATGTTGATGCCGGGAAAAGCACACTTATGGGTCATCTATTATATCTCTTGGGACATGTGAACAAACGAACCATGCACAAATATGAGCAGGAGTCCAAGAAAGCAGGAAAAGCTTCTTTTGCATATGCATGGGTACTTGATGAGACGGGTGAAGAAAGGCAAAGGTATTTTTTTTCTGAGATTAGTGGCTTGTCATGAATAGCTGGTTATCTAAAAACCTTTGGAATCCATAAGTCATTCTGTTCAGTGAGGTCACTTTCACCAGTTTGTGGGAAGACATTTGCCTTTTTCTGTTTTTGTTTATTGGGGTATGAAACTTCCCTTATTGTAAATATCTCCTAAACAACATTCATTGTCATTTGAATTTTATATTTTTTCTGCTGTTCGATGTACGTAATCCAACAAATTTTCTTATTGTAGAGGAGTGACTATGGATGTAGGCATGACCAAATTTGAAACCAAGTCCAAAGTTATTACTTTGATGGATGCTCCGGGGCACAAGGATTTTATCCCAAATATGATTACTGGTGCTGCTCAAGTAAGTTCTGTCTGTTACTATTATCAGTGATGTAGTCTACATTTGTTTACATAGAAGTGTAACTATTTTTTTTAATCTAGTAGAGGTTTGAACTGCCCCCTACTATTTTCAAAACTAAAAGCAAAAAATTGTTGCTAGACTTCTACATTAAAATGTTGTGTTCCTATTTCCTGTTCCAAGTTGTCGTGTGCAGTTATTCTGGTAATGGGCATTTTAAAAAAAGTTTTATTTCTCTTTATTTTTTTATTAGTTTGCATGTACACATCAATCTTTTGTATAGCTCGGTTATTACTGCTTTCTCCATAATGCATAGACTGTTTCCTGTCTTTTAGGCTGACGTGGCCGTTTTGGTTGTAGATGCCAGCCGTGGGGAATTTGAAGCAGGCTTTGAAGCTGGAGGACAGACACGTGAGCATGCACTGCTGGTCCGCTCTCTTGGTGTAACACAGCTTGCAGTAGCGGTCAATAAAATGGATCAGGTACAGTCTTATATTTATTAATCAATACATGTGAAACTTCATTTGCTGGATTATTCCCGGTCTATGAAAAACCTTGTGCATATGCCTTATTCTGTAAGGCTATAACTTGCTTGCATCAGTAGCCACAGTGTTTGATGCCTGCTTATTGAAGGATATCCTGTAGTTCTTTGGACATGTTAGGAAGATTTTACCCCCTTCATGACCAGGCCAGTTCTTGCTATTCAACATGTGTGTGTATGCATGTATATATATGTGTGTGTGTGTGTGTGTGTGTGTGTGTATATATATATATATTATATATATATTATTAGTGTGTATTTAAAAAATCTTGCGATATATATATAACTACCAATGTGGTCAAACGAAAAATGAAAATATATTTAGTGTTGCGCTCTCAAACCTTCAATATATATATAAATCATATTATTCCTTTATCCAAAAAAATTTTTTGCAAGTGATCCATATTCCTGATGCACAACTGACAGCCGTTCTCATTTCTTGAGGCCCTTAAAAGCCGTTCTCATGTCAGGGACAGTACAAGTATCCCCCAAATTACCCCTTTGTGGAAAGAAGGCTGTGTGAGGTATTTAGTAAGAGGCAAGGCAAGCTTTTTGAAGTTTGTCATTTTTTGTCTTAATTTTTTGGACATTAAATAAAATGTTTTTTTGGTTTTTTTTTTTATGGTTTTTTTTTTACACATACTGTCACCAGCACAGTACAGCGTCATGATATCACTGGTGTGGCAGTGACCAGGGACACTGACTGGTGACGACATGTTAAAAGAAAAGGAAAAAAAAAAAGTTTAAATATTTTTTTTACATTTTTTTAACATTTAATTTTTTTTACAAATTAAAAAAAAATACTTTCAGAGTAGTTCAATGTTACCATAGTAACAGTGTACTAATTCTTGGTGGGGTGATCAGGGATTTCTTCTTTTTTTTTTATGCTTTGGTTTCTTGTAGAATGAATCAGTCGCACCAGAAATGCTTTGAAATGTCATGCAATGGGTTAAGTTCATAACAGATCCAGAATACTAGTGAACTGTGGTTGGCTACAGCTAAGTACATGGTATAGGGTTCTGTGTTTAGCCCAGGTTCCATGTGATAGCTGTTGACCAATCGCAGCTCATTAGTACCAGAAGCAAAGCTGTTATTAATGAAATGCATTCATCACAGCCTTGTTGACATTGTGATCATGTGATTGCATAGCAGGTCCCGTGTACACACCGGGGCTCTCTGGGGTACGGGTGTACGTACCTTGTTTTGCCTGTATAAGCCGCCCACAGTAAAAATGGTTACAGCCGGGTACACATCTGTGTAGAACCCTACCAGTTCGACAGAAGCTGATCGTTAGATCGGCTTTTGCCAAATGGGACTACTGAAACTTTTTCAATTAGCAGCTTGTAGCCAATCAACTTTAGCGCTGTTCAGTGTATTCTGATGGAGAGTCACCGCTTTCAGAATACAATGTTCCAGCAGTGGGGATTCCTGCATCAATATTGCTTATGTGGCTGCAGAAATCTTTTTTTTTTTCACAATTGGCTGGCAGTGACATTGTGTACCCAGCCTTGATATTGATTCCCATTTTTTTTAGCTCTATACTGAGTTAACACATTGTCATCCTTTCTGCAAACCGTCTCCTGACTTTGGAGACCTGATCTGTATAACAGAAGCAATTAAAATTAAATTTTTAATTCTACTGGTTTAACTGAAATGTGGCTATTGTAAATCAGTCAGTGAAAGGTAGTTTATTCAGAGCAACTATCCTAATGTTCTAGGTGCTGGAGAGAAAGGTGTCTATTCAGGCTTAGCAGACAGGAGAGCCAGGGAAGACCTCACCACTGTGCTGATTTTTCATTCATAGTCTAGTTTTCTGGCTTTTGTGGGGAGTAAAACAGGAAGCCACAAAAGTAGAGGCAGTGGCAGGTGTATGTGAATCACAAGAGTGGCTAATTCACACAACTTTTGTCACTTGAACCACCTCATGTGTATATATTTCAGCAGCTTGGTTGAAGTTATACTTTAGATTTGCTGACTGCTTTGGAAATACTTGCCAAATCTGAAAATTCAGATGCTCCATTTGTGTTATGCCACATCTATCATAGTTCATTGCTCATGTGTAGGAATTTGTGTACAGAGTTTTTTTCTTTTTTCTTTTTTTTAAACAACAGAATTTATTCTGCTATAGCATGCTTTCACTAGTCCCTGCAGCTTTTTGTTCACCCTTCTTACAAGCTTTCTTATATCATTTGTAGGTTAACTGGCAACAAGATCGATTTCGGGAAGTTACTAGTAAGCTTGGGCACTTTCTGAAACAAGCTGGATTTAAGGTAGCATGAGCATTTATTTATGTCTGTCAACGAAGTCAAATGCCTTTAATGTTTTAAGCGATAGAGCACAGAGTGCATGAGAGTGGGATCCTGACCTTGACATGTTTTTTTGTTTTTTTTTTTTCCCCCATATGATTTTCCCACAGGTCTTTTTATTTCAGAGATAGATGTCGGGGAGTTTAGTGGGTAATAAAGTAAAATTGTCCTGACATGCCATCAGTCATATGCTAGTGTTCATACAAGCAACACACAACTCCTCTTCCCACGTTATTTATACACAAAGCTGTGCAGGAAAGCGGCTATCATAGCCACCTCTGGGCATTTCTTGGTAATGTCATATGTGATATTTGATGTAATTTCATAGTGCATAGTCAGAGAGCATCATACCAGAGACCAGGGTGGTATATTTTCACAGCTCTACATGTAAGATATCAGTATTTCTCACTCTCTCTTAACTCTTTGTAGTGGTCACTTTCCCAAAGTGGAGACGCATTCTACAATGCAGTCTTTCACATGCCTGTTGCTCCATTATCCTGCAAAAAAATCTCTTTTGGGGTTTGCATAGGGACAGGGTGGTGTTGAGCCTCAAGACTTTTTTCTAGCCTTAAGCAGTTTCTGCCTTTCACCTCAACAAGGACATTGTTCTTTCATCTCTCCCTTTTCCTCCATTGTCTGGGTGTTTGGTTTAGGCTGTGTGAGTCCATCTCTCAGCCTTTGGTTTCATTAAGAAAACCGATTTCTCTTTTTGTATTCTGGATACGTATTCAGGGGTGTGGAAATTTTTGAAAAAACTACTCCATGGACTAAATTGGTGTCCTAATCTACTTGTCCCTCGTGACAGTCTACTTGTCCTGATAAAAAAACATGCATTTTAACTTAAACCGTATTTAAAGCTGCTTTAAGTAATGTCTGGGGCTTTTAAAAACAAAAGGGGCTTTATGGTGACCTAAAACGTTTAATATTTTTACAATTGCTCTGTTTATCTCCTCATCCCTTCCCTGCCCCTCTCCAGCACCACACCCGGGGACTAGCAGGGAGGAGAGAGACCTTGCAGTGTATTGAGCAACGATTGAGTGCTAGTCAGGAAAGGGCAGTGTCGGTCTTATCCTTTATCCATTTCGCTGCCAGAGCTGTTTTTGCATTTTTTGCACACGTTTAAAAAAAATCATTTAAGGCCTGAAGATGACACAACACCCCCCAACATTGTATAATTTCTGAAATCGGAGATCCTAGAGAATAAAATAGCTGTAGTTTAAATTTTTTATGTCACACGATATCACAAAGGTCTAGGAAATGCAAAATTTCAGTAAAAAATACACTTAAGTTAATTTTAGGGCACAAAGAGCAATAAGTTATCCAATTTTTTGTAAAATATAAAAGACTAGGTTGCATCGAGTAAATGGATATCCAACATGTCAAACCTTAAATTTGCGTGCACTCATGAAACGGCAACAAACTTTAGTACCCTATATTTTCTATAGGTGGTACTTTTAAAGCCCCTTATAGGCCATCAGTTTAGCGTTATGGAGGAGGTCTGGTGCTAGAATTATTGCTCTCATTCTGGCATGCATGCCGATATGTAATGTGTATTGCAATCAACGTTTTCATGTGAAGGCTCCCCAACGCGTGCTTTTACGTTTGTGTGTGCGTCAATATGTGGGGGTGGGGCATTGAAAAATTTTTATGGGGGGGGGGGGTTATATACTTGGGTGTAACTTCCATTTAAAAAAAAAAAAAAAAAAAAAAAGACCTGTGCTCCCCTGAATATAAAGCAGTGCACATCGCACCGTATTACATTCTTTCCTGGCCTCAATGACTGGGAATCTGTCAAACAGATTCCGCTGGCACACACTGAACCAGTCCCGGGCCGATGGGCAAGCGAAGCCCGGGACATATAACAGGCAGGGTAGAAATACTGGCACTGTGGGCTGTGTGGAAGCAATCGGATAGCAGCGCTTCTGCCTGAATGCTTCCACCTGACTGTTCACAAGGTCTACCAGATTAATGTTCTGACCTCATCTGATAGCTTTGGGTGTAAAGTCCTTTATGTAGCTCTGCAGGTCAGATCCAATTCTCAGTTTCGTGCTGTGTTGCCCTCGGTTGGACTGTGAAAGACTTCCTGTCTCTCTTAATAGAGAAAGAAAATAGGATTTTTTCACTTATCAAATATAACAAAACTCTTTTTTTAATGGTATGCTTAACACATTTTAAAGGAGCAATAAGAAAAATTCATTGTTAGGGTTTGCATGCCCTTTAATATATGAATAAAAATGCTGCAACACTTCATTCTTACTTCCATACATTCAGTTTTCCCCACCAGGTATTTTTTGCCATGCATGTTTTTCTTCACTGCAGTCTACATTTCTGCTGTTCAAGAACTGACACCACGTTTGCCGTGTTCTGCACAGAACTGTATTCTGTGTTAAGTTTAACAGCTTGGTCTGTACAAAATCTGCACTGTACAGTTGTGCTCAAAAGTTTGCATACTCTTGGAGAATTGTATGCAGTATATACCATTTTTAAAACATGAGTGAGCAGGCAAAACACATTTCTTTTATTTCTTATGGGATTTATATTCAACTGTAGGTCTTAACAGAATGGCACACTCATAAAACAAAACATGGCAACAAGTAAACTAATGAATTGACCCCTGTTCAAAAGTTTGCATACCCTTAGTTCTTAATACGGTGTATTGCTTCCTTTAGCATCAGTAACAGAGTGCAGTTTTTTGTAATAGTTGTCCATGAGGCCCCAAATTCTTGCAAGTGGTATAGCTGCCCATTCGTCCTGACAAAATGTCTCCAGGTCACGCAAAGTCTTTGATGGTCTTGTATGAACTGCACATTTGAGATCTCCCCAGTGTGGCTTGATAAAATTAACGTCAGAAGACTGTGATGGCCACTTCAGAACCTTCACCTTTTTATGTTGTAACCACCGGAGGATCAGCTTGTCCTTGTGCTTAGGGTCATTGCTGTTCTGGAAAAGTCCAAGAGTGTCCCATGTGCAGCCTTTGTGCAGATGAATGCAAATTGTCTGCCACTATTTTCTAACATGTCTTTCCATCAATTTTCACAAAACTTCCCATGCCTTTAGAGCTCAACCAGCCCCCCCCCCCATGCTTCACAGTTGGGATGGTATTCTTGTCTCTGTCGGCCTTGCTGAACCCTCTCCAACATATTGCTTATGGTTGTGACCATAAAGCTCTATTTTGGTCTGCTCACAAGTTTTGAGGCGTTTCATGGCATTGTTGGGTTTTGTTTTTTTTTGTTTTTTGTGGCACTGGCGCAGTAAAAAAGGCTTCTTTCTGCCAACTGGCATTTTTGTTTAAGTATCGCTGAATTGTGCTCCTTTAAATAACCACATAATCGTTTTTCAGAGCAGCCTGTATTGCTATTGAGGTTATCTGTGGGTTTTTCTTTGTATCTTGAGCAGTTATTTTGGCAGTTGTGGCTGCAATCTTTTTTGGTCTACCTGACCTTGCAACTTTACAGTCGGGTGCCCACTGCGTATGCGTGAGTCGTGCTGCGCATTCTCATTGGTCCTGTGAAGGTTCCCAGGAGACTGCGGGAGGAAGAAGGGGGCCAAACTTCAGTCTCACTTCGCAGCGGAGAACTGAGCCAGAAATGGGAGTGGGTACCTTTTTGAAAACCAGGTACCCGCTCCCCCCTCCCTCAAAATATAGTAGTGGAGGGGGGGAGGAGGCAAATAAGCGGAACTTCCGCTTTTGAGTGGAACTCCGCTTTAATTGCAATTTTAACGTGTTTGCCACCTTGTATGTTTGTACCAAGGCCAAACATTCCAGGATATGTAAACTTTTGACTAGCTCCATTTGGGTGATTTCTGTTAACATTATGATTTAAAAAGGAACCAAATGACTGTGATAATAAATGGCTTCATATAATCACTATCCTTAAATAAAAGACATGACATGGCATGATCAGTCATATTTTCGCTATCCATTCCAAAATTTCCTGATTTTTGCCAGGGTACGCAAACTTTTGAGCACAACCGTATGCTTTCTCTAGCACTCATAATTATAATTAAAAATCCAAGAATTCTTACTAAGCTCTCCTCTCTGTAGAATTGTTTATTATAAGGCAAACCAGGCTTTAATTATGAAGCTTTTTGAGTTTGTCAGTGCAGCTAGATTACCAACAAACTGTACAATGTACAGTTGCCTGGGCACATTCTGTATGAGGACAGTTAGCCAAGCAAACGTGAACTGAGCACCCGCAGTCATATCTGTTAGTCAGCTTTACTATTGTTACCTATGTTCTGCTCAGCAGAATATTTTGTGTTAAAATCAGTTCAAACGGTATAGCACAGCTGTGGTTTGTGGCTTAACAGTAGCGATTGGGGCACTTTTTTTTTTTTTTTTCTTTTTCTTTTTTTCTTTCTACCACAGTGTCTGTTTGGTCACTTTGCCCTATCCCCAATAGACCAACCAAAAATTGCTTAATTTGATGTCTGTGGGTTGTTTTAGCCTAATGCGAACTAACAGATTATGGGATAGTGGAAATACAGATATATCTGCAATGTTATTGAAAGGTCCTCTTGTTTCTGGTCAGGTAAATTATGTGAAAGTAACATTTATAAGAGAAAGAAAGCTTATAAGATATAGGCGAATATGTCAGTATTTTAATGTTGGATGCATAAACTGTGGTCGATTTTCTGTAACTGACTTTGTAATTAGTTCAGTGCTTATTATGTTCCTTTTCGAATAAGGCTAAAATATAGAAAATAGGAAATGGGTCCACCTTTTGCAAATGTGTTCAGTATATAGTCAGTCATGTTTTGTGTTTTTACATTAAACGGATTTGCATTGTTATAAAACATTAATAGCAACAAAGCTTCTTCTCTTTTGAAATAAGTGCTGTAGTAACAAATAATTTTCTACCTATTTAGGAAAGCGATGTGTCTTACATTCCTACCAGTGGGCTCAGTGGAGAAAATCTGGCCAAAAGTAGTCAAATACCTGATCTGACAAGTTGGTATAAAGGACCGTGCCTTATTGACCAAATTGGTAAGAAACCTTGAGGAGATTTATCAAGCAAATTAGGGACAAATGTAGAAGCAAATTGGGCTGCCTAACAGCAGATTCTATGCAGCAGTTTTATGTGCATTTGTGACCCCTGAGCCTGTAATCAGATGGGGCAGATTTTCACTCAAAACAGATGCACAATTAGGATGTGATCAGGGTCAGAGTTTATACTCTTGCAGTGCTACCTGAAAGCAGCTAAGAGAGGAATTCATGATTGAGTCTGCCTCAAGTCTGTTTAAAATGGTCTCACTGCTCCTGTTTAGCATTGCCTGGCTGTGCATCAGTATCAAAGTGATTCTAAAGATTAAAATTGAAAAAAAAAAACAAACATGTTATATTTTTCCTGCTCTGTGGTTTTGCACAGAGCAGCCCTGTCTCATTTTTTTTTTTGTCCACTGCATGCAATCCTGGCTCCTCCCCCTTGCCAAGTGCCTCCAATAGCAAGCTTCTTGCTATGTGGGCGTTCGAGCAGGTTTGCTCCTGAGCCGTGCTCCTGTGAATGCACATTCACTCGACCCCTCCACCTGCTTTCTCCTCATTGGCTCACTGGCTGTGATTGACAGCCAATGGCTCTTGCTGCTGTGTGAGCCAGTGAGGAGAGAGAGACCCGGTGAAGCCGTGGCTCTAATGCACATCACAGGATCGAGAAGGGGCTTAGGTAAGCATAAGGGGGTGCTGAGGGGGGAGCTGCACCCAGAAAGTTTTTTACCTTCATGCACAGAATGCATGAAGATACAAAATCTGCCTTTAGAACCACTTTAATAAAAGTCTATTTGCAAATCCACGACTAATATTTGTCAAGTGGTGAGAGTGGCACACTTTTTATGCCATTTTACCATGGCCTCTGTCAGCGCTTTATAGTGAAAGCCAGATACTTCATTCTCAGGAGGGTATTATCCATGAAATTTGAAGAATCCTCCCTCGACTAATATCTAGGTTACTGGCTCTTTAGGCCTCCTTCCCTTGGAACACTATACATTGTACAGGTCGAATGAGCCAATTGTTTAAGTGTCTGGAACTGCTTGTAGGTAGTCTTAAGTTACTCTATGGCAGTGGTTCTCAAGCTTCCTAATGCTGCGACCCTTTAATACAGTTCCTCATGTTGTGGTGACCCCCAACCATAGAATTGTTTACCCAGTAATTATAATTCATGAAGTGTCATTTTACCTGCAATACTGCTGCTTTCAGCACAGTAGCTGCTTTCAGCACAGTAGCTGCTTTCAACACAGTAGCTGCTTTCAGCACAGTAGCTGCTTTCAACACAGTATCTGCTCTTTACACATCAGAAATATGTGTTTTCCGATGGTCTTAGACGACCCCTGTGAAAGGGTCGTTCGACCCCCAAAGGGGTCACGACCCACAGGTTGAGAACCACTGCTCTATGGGGATGCAGCAGCTGTATGGACACAACTGCATGTTTGTAAAAGCCAAAGAGTAGTAAAAACCCGCAGAAGATGTTACTGTTATCGCCTTCTGTCAAAAGCTCTTTTTTTTTTTTTTTTTTTTTTTAATAATTTTATATAGGGAAATTAATTGAGGAGTGCCAACTTACAAATCCCAGCAACCCATAGTAGCGATCATGTATTGCTCTTTGACCTAGTAAATTGAAAAAGACCAATTGAAGTATACGAAGTATATCTTGGGTATAGAGAGCTCTTTAGTTGATTTTTAATGATCTTTGTTTTCAGAGAATGCTTGTAGACTAATTCTTCTCCATATAAAGTATAGTATTGGTGTAAATAAAAAAAAATAATAAAAACAAAGTACAATACACTGCTATTAGTCTTGATATGGCGTTCACTGTGTCATATGTGAAAATTAATTGCTTTTATTCTCCAATGTAGATTGTTTTAAAGCCCCACAGCGTTCCACGGATAAACCTTTTAGACTGTGTGCATCAGATGTTTTCAAAGGTAAGGAGCTTACTTTTACTCACACACCACACGTAAAGGCGAGCCTCAACATCCAGCTGTAAAGAAAAACAGCACCACCAAGTAGTACTTGGCCCTCCAGCTGTTGCCAAACTACAAGTCCAATGAGGCATTGCAAGAGTGACAGTCACAAGCATGACTCCCAAAGGCAGAGGCATGATGGGACTTTCACAACAGCTGGAGGGTCGCCAGTTTGACACCCCTGCTTTAGTCCATCAAGTAGCATCAATGCTCTGGCTTGAAAAAAGTCTTGAGATTGAAATATCACTTGATGTGTTTGTATGTGTGACTAATAAAATGTCCTACATTAACTGCAGTCATAAAGTAGGTCTACCTTGGTTTATCAGTTAAAGATCCAATGTCATTTGAATATAGAAGTAAATACAAGTATTACCACTGGATCTATGTTGCATCTAAAACCCCTATGAAGAGCCATTACTTATGGTCATAAAGCAACTGTTGAATGAGATGGCCATCCGATAGGTAGCGCTCACAGCAAGATGAAAAGAGCTTGTAGTTTATACTGGATTGCCAAAAATGACAATTGCGTGTATCGCTGTTAAACTGTTAATGTTATAAAATTAAAGTGTATAATGTGATTTTAGATTACAATCACATGGCTAAAATAAAGACATTTTATGTTTGTGTTAAAGTTTTCTAAATCAAGCCTAATGAGTCTATTTTTGAATTGTTTGCATGAGGCCTGAAGATCTGTGCCAGAAGTAATTTAGTGCTGCTTAACATTCAGGTAGGATAAACTCTAGAGTGCCTCATTATAACTAGTTGCTCTGGTCCACATTCTTTTATGTCAAGGATACCTGGATCAAGAAATGTGGCATTTGCAAAACGTTTGAAAATCTGGAGATCAACAGGAGCATATCTGTGCCTTGCACACTACAGATGGGGTACCTCTCTTTTGTAACCTGCACTATAAAGCATTGAACAGATGATGGTGATATGCCAGAACTCTGTGTGACTCCATACTGCAGGAGTGAGCGAGCATAGGCTTATGGAAGGGACAGCGGTCATGGAGACCTGCAGGTTTTTACATTGTTTTGCAAAAACAGTGTACAGTTTGCCTTTTCAATATACAGCTTGCCTTTTCAATAAAGTGGGTTGTGGACAGCCTTTACTACAGTGACACTGAGGTTTTAGCATGAGTTGGATCTAAAAAAAAAAAAAAAAAAAAAAAAATCTAGCGTATACAATTGCAGTTCAAGCCATATTATGATTGAATTTTTATTAAAAATAACCTTTCCTTTTCAAACTGCAGCGCTGCAATTTTCTGAAAGATGCAATGCCATATGGCAACCTGGAGGTGTTCTGTACAGAGATGGTGTACAGAACTCCCTCTGAAAACATAATTTCCTGCTTGAGTGATTGGCTCACTGGTTTTTCCAGAAGTCTGCACTAAGATACAAGTCACATTTTTGGCATCACCTGCAACAAAAATGTCATTTTTGATCAGATACAAAGGGAAATCGCATCTAAAGGTATGCAGACCTGCCAGTGTCCTCATTAGGTGCAACAGCTGATTGAGAATTATAAAATCACTTCCATACAGATTCAGTCTGCACATGGACACAAACAACTTTTACTTCAAAATAACAAAAGGTAGAAATCAGCAACAAAGGTTGTTCCCAGAGGGGATTGTTTCTTCTCAACAAAAGTGGAGTTACTCTTTATAAGTACATCTATTATACAGTTGTGTTAAAAATAATAGCAGTGTGTTTAAAAAGGTGAGCAAAGCTCAAAATTCTTATAATAGCTTTTATTTACATACACACAAATGCATTGGGAACACCACAGTCTATTCCAAATCAAACATGAAGAATAATCTTTCAAATTTTTATTACTTTACAGAAAGTTAAGAAAAAGGAATATTAGTGTGTTCAAAAAAATAGTAGTGTCTGCATTTTTCTTTACAAATTCAAACATTTACTGTATAAACTGAAAAGTGCTTGAAGATTTAGCTTCCTTCTGAATCACTGAACTAATATTTAGTTGTATAAGCACTGTTTCTGAGAACTGCTGTACATCTGTGTTGCATGGAGTCAACCAACTTCTAGCACCCGTGAACAGGTATTCCAGCCCAGGACGATTCCATTACATTCCACAGTTCCTCAGCTTTTCTTGGTTTTATCTCAGAAACAGCATTTTTTATGTCACCCCACAAATTTTCTATTGGATTAAGGTCTGGGAATTTGGCTGGCCACTATATAACGTCAATCTTGTTGGTCTGGAACCAAGATGTTGCACGTTTACTGGTGTGTTTAGGATTGCTGTCTTGTTGAAACACCCTTTTTAAGGGCATTTCCTCTTCGGCATAAGGCAGCATGACCTCTTCAAGTATTCTGATGTATTCAAACTGATCCATGATCCTTGGTAGGCGATAAATAGGCCCAACATCGTAGTATGAGAAACCTCCCCATATTATGATGCTTGCGCAACCATGCTTCACTGTCTTCACAGTGTACTGTGGCTTGAAATCAGTGTTTGGGGATCATCTGACAAACTGCTGCCCCTAGACCAAAAAAGAACAATCTTGCTTTCATCAGTCCACAAAATGTTGCGCCATTTCTCTTTAGGCCAGTCAATGTGCTCTTTGGCAAATTGCAACCACTTCAGCACGTCTATTTTTTTCAACAATGGGATTTTGCAGGGGCTTCTTGCCGATTTTAGCTTGGCTTCACATAGACATCTTCTAAATGTTACAGTACTCACAGGTAACTTTAGACCTTCTTTTATCACCCTGGAGCTGATTGTTGGCTGAGTCCTTGCCATTTTGGCTATTCTATCCATTTGAATGGTAGTTTTCTGTGTTTTCTTCTATGTCTTTCTGGTTTTGGTTGCCATTTTAAAGCATTTAAGATAATTTGAGATCATTTTAGCTGAGCAGCCTATCCGTTTCTGCACATATTTATATGTATTCCTCTCCTCAATCAACTTTTTATTCAAAGTACACTGTTCTTCTGAACAATGTCTTTAATGGCCCATTTTACTCAGATTTTCAGAAAAAAATGCACTATACCCAGCATGTACAACTTTTGCTGCCTTCGCCCTTAAGTAAGGGTCACCTGTTTTTTCATGGACTGAATGACCTCACTAAATGAACTCCACACTGCTATTATTTTGAACATGCCCCACATTTACACAGACTCCACAGCATGCATGTCATGATTGTTGGGTCTGTTGGATTTCTATTACTCTACTACACCTGCTAGTAAATTATTTGCCATGTAGAAATATAATTTATACCAAAAACAGTGATTGATCTGGTTAGTGATGTCTGGACTGCTTTCAGTTTGAACACAACTGTATAAAGCATAAAAGCTGCCATTGCTAACCTCCTCTTGAAAATGCTAGTTACACAGTGATTCTGGCAGTTTCTGATCTAGAACATGCATGCAGCAAATGAAAATTGTAGCAGTCAGAATTGATGGCCTCTGTACTTACTGTTGGTTATCAGCTCATACACATTATTGGCATTACAGTCAATCAGCTAGCACCTCGCAGTAATCCTCACAGCACCACTTCAGAATAAGTTTCCTGAGCCAACCATATAAATACCATTACATTACAAAATTGTTCCCTGCCTTTACTGGATTAATATTGTAGTTATTATTGTAAGGTGGCATCCTTTAACCTGAGCATACATCAGTTTTATTTTTTGCTGGTAAGTTTAGATTGGCCATGGATGAGCAGATCTTGTAGGTAGGAGATTCTAGCTTAGTTCTAAGTATTTTTTAATGAATGGTGAAATCAAAGATTGTGTTCCTCCCCTTTATGATCAAATTATCTCCAGTGATGCCCAGAGCATTCAATTTGTTGTTTAGACAGCCTTATCTATAACATTATCTTTCTGCACTTAGACCAAGGCTCTGGATTTTGTGTGACTGGCAAAATAGAAGCTGGCTACATACAAACAGGTGACCGCATACTAGCCATGCCACCTAATGAAACATGCACCATAAAAGGTAAGTGGGTAGACTTGCTATCGAAGAACGACATGTCTTATTTTTATTGCTGCATGTGTTTTGGCCCAGCAATCACTTCTGAAAGTTCTGTCTGCACCTGAAACTAATGTTCTGTCATAATGATACTGACTGTTAAATATTGAATCCTGATTCTTGAAACGAATTTCCTCACAGGTGACTGTGTGTGTCTGAAGAGATGTACTTCAACACGTGTGAGACATTTCACTTGTAACTCCTCTAGAGTTTAAGAGGCTTCTCACACTCACTTTGGGCTTTTTCTCACGCCACCAATGATTCCCACATTGTTCTATTACTCATGTTTGTTTATTTAGAGGCGCATCAGTAATACCTTTTGCATCATTGTGTCCTCTCACAGGGTTCAGACAAGCATCAGAAGGGTTTTGTTTTGGATTCAAATCCTAAAAATAAGACCGCTACGTATGTGAAAGTCTGATGTCTCTAGTGGCGTCAGTAAATCCAAATTTTCACATAATGTTGATGTCTTTTTAACATAGAAATTACTCATATGTAGAGAGAAAATATTTTTTTGCACATTATCTTTAATATTCCCAGACAACTCTATTAAAATAAAGATAGCTCTACTAGTGCTAGTTGTTTGTGTTTTTTTTTTTTTTTTATAGAAGGCTGGTCATTTTAACGAACATTTTTAAACAATTAATGAATGTTAATAAAATGCAACAGAATTTTAAAATTTTATTAAAAACAACTCTCAAATTTAAAATTTTTGTATGTACAGTCAGGTCCATAAATATTGGGACATCGACACAATTCTAACATTTTTGGCTCTATACACCACCACAATGGATTTGAAATGAAACGAACAAGAGATGTGCTTTAACTGCAGACTGTCAGCTTTAATGTGAGGGTATTTACATCCAAATCAGGTGAACGGTGTAGGAATTACAACAGTTTGCATATGTGCCTCCCACTTATTAAGGAACCAAAAGTAATGGGACAGAATAATAATCATAAATCAAACTTTCACTTTTTAATACTTGGTTGCAAATCCTTTGCAGTCAATTACAGCCTGAAGTCTGGAATGCATAGACATCACCAGACGCTGGGTTTCATCCATGGTGATGCTCTGCCAGGCCTCTACTGCAACTGTCTTCAGTTCCTGCTTGTTCTTGGGGCATTTTCCCTTCAGTTTTGTCTTCAGCAAGTGAAATGCATGCTCAATCAGATTCAGGTCAGGTGATTGACTTGGCCATTGCATAACATTCCACTTTTTTCCCTTAAAAAACTCTTTGGTTGCTTTTGCAGTATGCTTTGGGTCATTGTCCATCTGCACTGTGAAGCGGCGTCCAATGAGTTCTGAAGCATTTGGCTGAATATGAGCAGATAATATTCCCCGAAACACTTCAGAATTCATCCTGCTGCTTTTGTCAGCAGTCACATCATCAATAAATACAAGAGAAGCAGATCCACTGGCAGCCATACATGCCCACGCCATGACACTACCACCACCATGCTTCACTGATGAGGTGGTATGCTTAGGATCATGAGCAGTTCCTTTCCTTCTCCATACTCTCTCTTCCCATCACTCTGGTACAAGTTGATCTTGGTCTCATCTGTCCATAGGATGTTGTTCCAGAACTTTGAAGGCTTTTTTAGATGTCGTTTGGCAAACTCTAATCTGGCCTTCCTGTTTTTGAGGCTCACCAATGGTTTACATCTTGTGGTGAACCCTCTGTATTCACTCTGGTGAAGTCTTCTCTTGATTGGTGACTTTGACACACATACACCTACCTCCTGGAGAGTGTTCTTGATCTGGCCAACTGTTGTGAAGGGTGTTTTCTTCACCAGGAAAAGAATTCTTCGGTCATCCACCACAGTTGTTTTCCGTGGTCTTCCGGGTCTTTTGGTGTTGTTGAGCCAACCGGTGCGTTCCTTCTTTTTAAGAATGTTCCAAACAGTTGTTTTGGCCACGCCTAATGTTTTTGCTATCTCTCTGATGGGTTTGTTTTGTTTTTTCAGCCTAACGATGGCTTGCTTCACTGATAGTGACAGCTCTTTGGATCTCATCTTGAGAGTTGACAGCAACAGATTCCAAATGCAAATAGCACACTTGAAATGAACTCTGGACCTTTTATCTGCTCATTGTAATTGGGATAATGAGGGAATAACACAGACCTGGCCATGGAACGGCTGAGAAGCCAATTGTCCCATTACTTTTGGTCCCTTAATAAATGGGAGGCACATATGCAAACTGTTGTAATTCCTACACCGTTCACCTGATTTGGATGTAAATACCCTCAAATTAAAGCTGACAGTCTTCAGTTAAAGTACATCTTGTTTGTTTCATTTCAAATCCATTGTGGTGGTGTATAGAGCCAAAAATGTTAGAATTGTGTCTATGTCCCAATATTTATGGACCTGACTGTAAATACTCAGTGTGAATGGAAGAATATAATGAACAGATTGGTACCTGAAAATTTCTAATCTATAGGAGAAGTTCACAACCTATATATTGTGATCCTAAATCAAGTAGAGGAACTTCTGATTGGAGGTTTATGGGCATGCTGGTATTTCTTTCCTACCCGGTTACCTACTCAGAGAAAGATGGGTTTTTGGGTGTCAGTGTTAAGCCTGGTACACACTAGCAGTTTCTTTTTTTTTTTTTGCTCAGCCCAGCGGGCTGAATGAAAAAAACCCAAAAAAACCCTGCAGTGCTCAGGAAGAGCCGCTGTACTAGCAATCTGATCTTAGTAGAGCGATCTCCCCTGCTGAGCTATTGTGTTCTTGATAAGGGGACTGCTCCCCCCCCCCCCTTGTTCCCACCAGAACACACTGGTCAGTGCTCTCAGCCAATGACTGAGAGCTCTGATCGGCATACATTTTTTGGTCATGCCCCTTTGACAGATGTTGGCCACTGTACACACAGGTTGAATGTCAGCCAGGTTTTATTGAACCGGCCAATGCCGCCCAACATGCGGCCCGTGTGTACTAGGTTTAATAATATAACTATGCTAATGAGGCTTAACTGAGAGAAAACTGCACTGCTGCAGGTTAGACCACCACTAGAAATTCCCTGCAACAGCATATGATGCAAGTCTGGTTTGTGCTTTAATCACTGAGAGAAGGAAGAGTGGATGGCCACACACCTGGTAATTAAATCTCCATCTTCTTTATTTCACAGGTAGACTCCGGACAAAAGCAAAGGACCACCGTTAACGTGTTTCACGTCATAGATGGTTAATCACAATTGTCTGGGACGTGAATCCATGTTCCCTGTGTACTGTGCTTTTGTCTAGATCCTACCTATGAAATAAAGAAGTCCAGAGCTTTAATTACCAGGTGTGTGATCATTCACTTTTCTTTAATCTCAGTACACCACTGAGAAGGCCGGTTACATAGAAAAAAGACCTGGAGAAGAGTAAATAGAAACAGAAGTGGAGCTGTTATCCCAGGTGACCAATTGAAGTCATTATCTTGCGCTTCCAGAGATAGAAGTAGCCTTATAAGACCTTGTACATACAGGTCTCGGTTTGTATGTAAGCCATTGAGGACCAAATTTGAATATCTAGGAGAGGTGCTGAATTTTCAGTGTCTACCTATAATGCTGGCCATAGACTGTTCGAAAATCTTCCGATTTCTCATCCGAAAGATTAATCAGCCGATTTTCGCACTGTTAGTGGGTTACTTGGTCGGCTGGTTTTCGGGTTTTTTGCACTTTTGGATTATCGGTCATGTTGGAAAATTCGTGGAAAACGACTGATTTTCACGGCAATGATGGCCAAATTGTACGATCTTTTAACGAAAAAAAATATGCGCATGAGCCGTGACCTGGAAGGAACAGAAGTTTTGGCTGTTATATGGGGTGAACTTCATGACTTGCTCGGCTGATTTTTGTAATCAGTGGTAACGTCTGTTTAACGAATGACCGATTTTTCGTTTATCGTTTGAAAAACACGCGCGGTTTTCAAGCCGTCTGTGGCCTACTTAAGCCTCGTACATGTGGGATTGAGTTTATATAAGAACAGTGTGTGCAGCAAGCTCTCATAAAGCAATTACAAGGTTTTCAGCCAGCTTCAGGAAACTTTTTTGTGACTGTCAACCTTCAATTTCAGTTTAGGGAATTTAAATGCAATCCATAAGGGTGAGCTGACTGCCACTGAAAACATGCTGCAAGCCTCAGCACCGTTTGTTGAAAGCCTGTTGTACAGTAGTGTGCTAGCACATTGTTTAAAGTGACAGCCAGGGATCCCCCATTGTCATCTGGGTTTAAAGTGAAAAGTAATTTTTTAAATAAATCTGGTAATAATATAGGTTACATGTATTTGCTGGTTTTTTTCGTTTTTTTTCCCTCTGAGCTACCTTTTTAAAACTGTCCCCTGGCCACACTTGTCACACTTCCCCCTGAGTCCCCCCTTGAAACTGCAACTGTATGATTTCAAAGTTGGATGTCATTTCGACTTGCAGTGTGACTTGCAAGAAATCTGCGGCTTGCAAGACACACATGCCTATGCAAATCGCACCTGAAGTAGTGCATACACTACTTTAGAAATCGGTGAGGCTCCGACCAAGTCAGAATCGACTTATTATATGACCAATTTAATTACGGACAACGACTTGCCATGCGACTTGAAACTTGTATGGCATGTCGTACCCGGTGTGACTGGGTTCTATATGTATTTATTATGCATTTGAAACCAATGGTGCTAATATTGTGTGACATAAAAAATTGCAACTACCATAATTTTATTCTCCAGGGTCCCTGTTTTCAGAAAATGTGCAGTATGTTTGCGGTTTTAACTAATCTTCAAGCCTAAAATGTGCATTTTAAAAAAAATGCAAGAACAGCTTGGCATTGAAAGGGTAAAAGGAAGGCAAAAAAATAACAAGTAAAAAACTGTTTCTGGAAAAGTACTGACCCTACTTCTATCAGACAATAAATCTCTATAATCGACAAAGTCTTCTGGATGGAAAATGTTACAGCTTTCTTAAAGTGGAAGGAAAAGAAATTCTAGAGTAAATGG